ACAAGTATACAACAACTATGAACTACATACCTGCTTAAGAAGTTTTACTTGGGTTGGTTTCATTCCAAAATAAGAATTTGACTCTAAATGGTCTACTGTACGGGCATGTGTGTCATCTGATGTCATTATAACAAAGGGGATCTCCTTTTGAATTTCACCTAAATTTTTTAGAAAAGAGACAAATTATCTAAAGAGGCAATGAAAGGGGTTAAAAATGTTGTTTGCTGTCAAGATCATTTTAGTGTTTAAATTTAACTACCCTTTACTTACCTATGCAAGCAAAATAGGGAATGGATTGAAAAAAATAAGCAGAAGTATCTAACTCCATGATTCTCATTTCAGAGAAAAGGGTTACATGGTAATTGAGGAAAAAAATGGAAATTTAATTATATGAAAGGGGTTAAAAATGTTGTTTGCTGTCAAGATCATTTTAGTGTTTAAATTTAACTACTCTTTATTTACCTATGCAAGCAAAATAGAAAATCGATTGAGAAAAACAAGCAGAAGTATCCATCTCCATGATTCTCATTTCTGAGAAAAGGGTTACATGGTAATCGAGGAAAAAAATGGAGATTTATTTATATGAAAGCCTAAAGATTCTGCGAACTACAAGTGAAAGGGCACTATGTGAAAAACCTTTTGTTAATCTATGGCCAGCTTCCTGAAGGGCCAGAATATGTTCAATGTAGTGCTGTAAAAAACATGTTCCAGTTGTGGTCTCTGCGGGAAGTGCCACCTGCAAGATGCAAATGTTGCTGGTCAAGGAGAAAGTGGTGAACATGTAAAACAATCTTCCTTATCAAATAGAAATTGCTTTCAAGACAATATTTGATAAGTGTCGATTGCTAGGAAAGTTGACCAGATGAGTTCAGGTTTGAGACTTCTTATCACCCAGCTTTGGTAGAACCTTAACCAGGGTATAGAAAAATTCACTATGTCATTTGTTATTGCATGGCCAAACATGCTCAACACTAACTACAGAGTTAAAGAGCAATTCCATAAAATCAGAGCAGCTAAATTGCTGTACACAAAATATTTCCTAAAGCATGCACCAAAGCTGGTGAAAAAAGTGGCCTACTATATTGAATAGATATAAAAATGAGAAAAAAAAAAACCATGAGAGTAGTTGACTCCAACAAAGCATTCATACTAAGTTGACAGAAAAACAGAAAAAGAAAGAAGAATTACAAATAAAAGGATGCACTGAACTATAAAATGGGAGGATAGATGAGATGAATACCTTAATTCCATTATATCCAAGACGCTCCCCAAGCCCCCCTGCAACAAGAACAAATGCAGCATTCTGAGCTTGTTTAATCCCTGTCTCCTCAAATTTGATAAAGTTATCATCACCATATGTCAGAACTTCTCCTGTTGGAACCTGTAGATTTATCACCCAAAGCTTTAATTACTTGTTTGTTCTCAACTGCACAAACTATCAGGATCGACAGGTCTCACTGAAAATTTGAATTGCATCATGAATATGTATATGTTACAAAACCATTTCAAGCATGCATTTGAGGCAGTGTTTAAGTGTCCAAGTTAGTGACTTGAGTATACCTAGAGAATAGCTCCACTGCTTTGGAGAGCAGATGTGTACAAAGAAGAATATGTCAACCAGATATCAAAACTTCTCTTGGATGCATGAAAAAGGAAGGCAAGGATGATTTTGGGGAACATATAATGCGGAGGAAATTGTGATTACGAGGAAAGATTTGCATTAGCTACATTTTTAGAACAATACAAATTGCTAGGTGTAAGTACTCTGACAACAAAGCATCCTCTGTCAAAGCTAGGATTCAATAAAATATGTAGCAATGCCAGACTCTGTATCAGGAAAAAAAAAAAACCCCCTCTAGATGATATATAGATCTTTGAATTCTTCATCATTCCTAGCAAACGAACTATGTAGTTCATGGAAAAGACTGTAGATTAATCATGGGCTTCATCCTGTTAAATCAATCAAAAGCTTACAATCTAAAACGGGAAAATTATCACTTCAAGTGAGTACTTCCTAATATATGGTAATATATTTGCACAGCTTGTGCCTAGGCAAATGGTTCATTGCACTACTATGGTTTGCAAAGTTGGGGAGATACCAATGAGAAACGATCTTTGTGATGAATTTACACTGTAATGGCTCTTGTAAAATTAAACGTTTCAGAAAAAGAAACAAATATTTTACTCACTGATGGTGTGAAGCCATCATATGGATTCTTCCCAGCTCTGGAATCTGCCAAGAGTTCTCTAGCGTTCTTAATATATGATGCCAAACCCCCAGGGTAGCTTGAATTTAGCCTAGCCACCTGAAAGAAACATCAAAAAGATATGAAAGGTTGTAGCTTGTAGGTAATAGAAAATGCTTATTTTAGCACTATTCAATCTGATGGCCAAAAAAACAAAAACACTATTTAATCAAATCAAGAATTAAAAAGAGTAAGACATAATGGAAGATCCTCATTCTTATACTTTCACTCATCATTACACGTTTATGACATATAGCAGATAGAAAAGGCTTGAATGGATTTGATTTCAAGGGAGTGGGGAAGAATCAAAATTTTGGGTTTGCACATTTAAGTTTGATCTAGCCATCGACCTAAGGCATTAACCAACTTCGTTCAGTTCATTAAATTTAAGACCATTAAGTTGACATGAAAAACTCGAACCTGAGTGAAGAATGCTTTCTTCTCCTCGTCGTCAACACCAGGCTCCGGCCAATGCTCAAACAAATGGCTCTGCTCCATCTCCAGCAACATCTTCGCCAACTCAACCTGAAACAACAGACACCACTCAATCACACACGTACACAACCGTTATTTACACGTCGGTATATAATGACACATTGGCTACCTGATCTGGAGAGAGGAGGCGGAGATTCTTCTTCAGATTAGGAGCAGAAGTGGCCAAATCGGCACTGATGTCGAGCATGGAGAGATTCTCCGCGGCCGATTGGACGGTGGACGCCATAGTCGTCTGTGTTGGAGCTCCGAGACGAGACAATGATGAGGAGTTCCAATGGCACGATCGATGAACGGAATCGAAAGAGAAAGCGAAGAAGAAAAAGAGCAAGCCAAGTATTACGTAAAAAAGAATTGAAGTAACGTAGCAAAACTGAAAAGATAAGCGCTGCGCGTCACGTCCAGATATAGCATTTACGTGGCGGCCATTTTTGTATTTACTGCTAGGGCCTGTCACACACAGTTTTTACTAACCATGAAACTAATTCAAACAAACAATAACATTAATTTTTTTCAATTTATATATTTTATAAACTTCTATAATTTCTTTAATAATAGTACCATATAAAAATATGACAAATCAAAGAGACCCAAAATAATATTTTTCAATTTTTTGTGAAACGTCTTGTTATTTTTTAACTCCCTTTAATACTTGCATTCCATGCTAAGACTGCATCTCTGGTTTTAAAAATCTAGAAATGTTGGAAAGTGGTAGAATGAAGTAATTAATTTGTAGGAAGACTTTTCAGTTTCTCAAGCGGTGCTCCGTGGAGATGAATAGGCAAAGCGCATTAAATACTGCAATCTCATGGGGGAATCATACCTAAAGAAAACATTGCGTGTGAGAACCAACAATCTAAAAGATAAGTAAAAGGACCCGACACCTAACATGCTATCTCAAATAATAGATACCCATAAGAGGGAGAGAAGAAATCAGAGAAAACGTAGAAAAATGAAAATCATCCTTCATCTTTCCTGTAGAAAAATACAGCTCTTTCCTGTTAGGAGTTCTCTATTATACAACAATCTTGCCAAGAAACATTGGCTTCTCAGACCCTTTTACTTTCATTCATGGTACAAATCAAGCAACAGATTTAAGTAGCACTCCCTGTTGGAAGGATTGTTTCCACCGAACCTGTTTCTGGTCCCAAGGTTAAAGGGGAGATCAAACTACAATATACAGCTCTCTAGATTCATGTTTTGCTCTGAAGAATGTATCCAGATCGAATGAAACCTACTACCTACCAAAATAATTCCTCTGACCTGAACAAAATGCAAAAATGCGCTGCAAATAAAGTCTTGTTCCTTGGAGATACACGTATAAAATCAACATCAAATGGAGTAATGAAAACCCATAAATTTTGAATCTTGTCATCTTCCAAATAGCAGAATCTCTTTTAACTCTTCGTCTGAGCAGCAGCCAACTTCTCTTCATAATTTAGAGTGTTGGCCGCATTTAGAAGCATGTCCATTCCACCTCTACCTTTATCTGATTCCCTTTCCAGATCTTCAAATGCCATTTTTCCCTCTCTGCCTTTTGATTTGCATTTATTTTCTAAAATCTGATATGCTCTTTTTGCTTTGCGTATACGCTCTAGAC